CACTACATATGCCAAAGAAAACGACATTATACATAATATAGAGAGAGAGAGAGAGAGGCAAACCTAGTTGAGCAAAAAGAGAGTTGTTCAACGAGAAAGGGGGACCAGTGTGAAAGTGAAGGGAATGAAGGTAAAAACCCTACAAATTTTATTGTGGAGAGTATTTTAGAATTTACACATTTAATCACATTTCTCAATTCCACAATCCCTCACAGTAGAAGGGATTTCTCAACCATGCAGATGAGATTCTAGCCTTCAAAACATACTGCCGATTTGTTCAAAACCAACAAAAATCCAATCCTAAACAACTTACCCAAACCAAGGATAAATGAACCCTATTCATAATTTTAATCCAATCCCCCTGTAATCCCCCCATATCCTGTCTTCCAAACATTATCTGTGTTAATTAAGTCTTTGAATTTTATTTTATGTCAATTGAGCCTCTAATCTGACTAATTGTGTTAATTGAGTCTTCTTGTCTACCTCTGTTAAATTTTCTAATGAAAAGTGACAAAATGTACCGCTCATATGATTAGGTAGTGACTCATCTATATCACATGAGTAACACACTTTGCTATTTTATGTTAAAAAATTTAACTGAGGCAGACAGAATGATTCAATTGATATTATTAAAAAGTTTAGAGACTTAGTTGATACAAAAAAACAAATCAAAGGTTTAATTAATATAAGAATAATTTGAAGGTTATATGTTTTAGAGTTATAGATGCATAGAATTTCCAAATGAAATATAAACAATAACCTAATGCGTACCATTCTTTTGTAGAATTAAACAAAAGAGTAATGTTATTGAGACCTAATTTACTGTGACATTTGGATTGACTGTAGGTCTCATCAAATAATGGAACTTGGTGTTGATTCAATAATTTCTATGAAACACATCATTATGTCAATAAATTAGATCAAATTTTTAGTCAAAATAGTATTACTCTTAGCAAAAAGAGAAAATCATGTCTTTGTAATTTTTGACCTTGACCAATTGTTTTTGATAGCAATTAAAAAATTAAAGGAAAATCCAATCATCAAACAAACATATTAGATGCTATAAAAAATTCAAATGTGTTTATAACCTTAAACTTTAACTCAAGTGATAATAGGAGTGAATTGTAAATTCAAATATCATGAATTTGAATTTTAATAATTTTTTATGGTCAGGTTATAAATGATTTATTCCTTATAAATATCTTAATCCCAACAAAGATGATCTGTTTTTAATCGAATTGGATATGAGATTAGTTAAGATGTATGTAAATTAGTACAAACACCTCCGACTATTGAAAAAAAAAACAATAGATTTGTTTGCAAAATACTAAATACACTTCATTGAGGTTCGACTAAGTAGTTAAATTTTATAGAAATTTGGAGATTGGTCTCCCTTTGTGGACTTATTTAGTAACAAGTTCATCAAGGAAACTTGTTATATATATATATACACACACACACACACACACACACATATACACACATAATAACATTAAAAAAAATAGTAACATAAAAAATAAAAAATAATAATATTCAAAAATAAAAAATAGTAACATTGAATATTAATATTTGAAAAAAAATAACAACAGTAACATGATCTACAAAAAAAAAAAAGTAACATTAAATATTGATATTTTGAAAAAATAGTAACATTTAATATTAGTAATATCATATTCATCAAAAAAAAAAAAAATAGTAACATGCACAACAAAAAAATAGTAACATACATAGTAATATTCAATATTAATTTACCATATTCTTCTTAGCAAAAAAAACTGAGAGAGAGAGAGAGATAAATGGCAGTGATATCAAATTTAAATTCGAATTTCAAATTTTAAGGAAAAAATTCTTCCATTAAGTGTGAATTAAGGATGATCGTTTATAAAACTAATTTAATATTGAAGAATGTTTTTTAAGTCACTAAAAAGGCATTTTTGAGTTTTAAAAAAATAATAGATTTAACTACTTATTAGTAAGATTAAAAATGAATTTACAGACAAATAAATTTATTTGATAAACTAAAACTCATTATAAGTCCCTTAAGGGGTCTCAACTCCAATTTTTATTAAATTTTACATGGTGTGACTAAAATTTAATTTAATTTTTTTTATTTTGGACCATGTGACTAAAATTTAACTTAATCAAGTCACTAATTTTGAGGCAAATTTAATTTTTATAATATATAAAATTCACACAATCTAAGGAACTCGATTAAGTTAAATTAAAAAAATTGGATTTGATTTTTAATGTAATTTTATCAAATAAAAAAAATTATTGTATCATCTAACATAGCAAATTCAAAATCGAATTTGAGTTATTGTATAATATTTTTCACCAATTAAGATATTAATTATGAAAATAAAATCTATTAAATGCTCGGTCTATTTTTTAAGCTGCTCTCTTCTTCTCGCTAGTTCTACAAGCATAAGCATTACTTTATTTACTATTATTATTATTATTATTATTTTATTTATAATTTCATATAATTATTTGACGTTTTTTATTATTTATTATATTTTTGTAAATAATCTAATGAAACCAAAGGACAAATAATGTCATTGACTCGTTAAGTGTAACTGCGAAAGACACGAAGGTGTGAAAAGACATGCACTATGATTGTGGAGTAAAAAGCAAACGTATTCCTTAATTATTTTTTAATTTTTTTTTTACAATAGTGAAAGTGAGGTTGTTGATTTTATTTTTATTCTTAAAAAGTAAATTTATTGAATCAATTTTTAAAAATGTTGTAGATTAATAAATAAATTTAAAAATTTTTGTTCATCAGTAATATTGTTTTTAAAAAAACTATATACTAAGTAAATAACTCATAAATTGATGGTGATAATAATATGATATTATTTATTGTAGTCTTTATAACATTTATCATAATATTTCAACAAAAATTATGATAATTTACCAAAATTATAATAAACTAAAAAATTATGTTAATAAGTGTTGAGATGTGATAGAAAATAACTAGTAATAATTCACGCCTAAAATAACGCTATTTATATTATAAATCATGCATTGATTTTTATAATATTTATATTTTAAATAATAATTTAATTTTTTTTAATTACGTTTATTAGTGAATATAGAGAAAATAGATGTCATTATAGATTACTAAAATTATATGATATTAGAGAGGTTGTTAATTGAGTTGTTTAATATTAAAAAATATATTGATTAAGTTGTCTCGTGTTGGGGTAATGATATTTTTAAGTAAAAAAAAATAATACGGTAAATTTTATATTATTAGATTAAAATAAATAAAAAATAAATTAATTTATGACCGTTATTAAGTTATTTTTGATTGAGATTTCAACTTAATAAATATTTGAAAAATTCGATGCAACTCATCATTGAGCAACACAGTCTCAGCCGCCACCCTGAGAAAGAGGAAGAAAACTGCAGGACCCCTCTTCACTTTTGCAATAATTCACATCCACAGTTCAAAGCAAAATCAAGCTTATCAACAATGGCTTCTTTCTCTACCGTTCCTTCAAGCTCCACACCATCCATCAACAAGGTGCTATTATCACTTTCGTTATAAATCACTTGCTTTCTCTCAGAAAATTTTCTGGAATACCTCAGTAATCCATCGCTGATTTTCTTCATACACACATATATATTGCGTTATTTTAGGTACAGAAGGATGTGGGTTTCTCTGCTTTTTCTTCACAAACATCATTTTTCATTCAAATTTCCGAGAAAAGAGTTTCCAGGAAAATCGTATCACTCATGGCACCACAGCAATCTGAACGGAGGCCCCCTTCCACTGGCTCAGTTGGGTTTTTACGCTTTCCCTTTTTTTAGTTTTGGGATAATAATGATTTCCAAATTGTGTTTGAGAATTAATTTGGTGAATTTTAACAGAGGGTTTTGTGGTTAATTTTGGTTTATAGGTCAAGACTGCGATGACGATGACAGAGAAGATCTTTGCCAGGGCTTGTGAGAAGCCCCAGGTGAGTCCTGGTGAGAACGTTTGGGTCAATGTTGATGTTTTGATGACGCATGACGTTAGTGGACCTGGTGCAATCGGTATCTTCAAGAGAGAATTCGGCAAAAATGCAAAGGTATACAATTAGCCTGCTGCTCACTGAGGCCTTTTAAGCTCAAATTCTTCACTGAAATAAATTATTTTCACGTTATATATGGATGGGCAAAGAGGGCTAGGCCACTTTTGTACAAAGTAATACAGCAGTAGTTATTCCAGTAACACAACAACGGAGGGTCGAGAGAGGGCTTTTTACATGACGCAAGTTGCTTAATCAGTTTACTTCATGCTTGGCGAGCAAAAGTGCTCTTCACTGTACAAAATGAAAGCGTAGGCTAGCATGCTAATTAAGCATCTTCCCTTTGTCCCTTTCGATTCCTAAATCTCAAATTAGTCTAAGTCATACAAAGATAACTTGGTTCATTCTAAGTCTCGAGATTAAAAATAGAACGATTGACTCATACCACCTAACATTTCATCAGGAACATTTGTGAGAGAAGGCAATATTTGTCTGCAGCAGATGATCCTTCTACAACACCTGTCTCCTTTTCTTGCTATCCTTTCTCGCCTGCTGTAAACTCTTGTGTCTTCTATTGGTGCTTCTTCACCTTTTCACTCTTACTGAAACAGCGAAAGGGGCATAGTTTTGAATCATTTACGTACTGCTTTATGTGCTATGATTTTTGATTTTTGATTTTTGAATTCAATTGATTGATGTTTACTTGTTTTCTGATGAAAACTGAATTGGGAAGTTTAGTGTGAAACAAAGCATGCTTATGTGGAAGGACACTGAAGTATGATATCCTGACTGAAATTGATTAGAGGTAATCTGTTAAGAGAGGACAGTGGTCTTATGTTAAGTTAAACAGAAAGAACATCTAAGTGCTAGCAAAAATTTGATGGATTGGCTATATGTTGATTGAATTTTTATCGAATTTGCAAACTTAAAACTTTATTGTACTTCACTCAGTTGAAATTAAATTTTTGGATCACCACGGGTATTTGTTCAGTATTTGAACTCGGAACCTGTTATATACATTAACGTACTACAAGGCTCATAAGTTAAGGTTGAAGATTTGGCTTTGACTTTGATTTCATATCAATTCATGAGATTCGCAGGGCTAAGTGAATCTTTTTGTATATTGAATGCTTTTATTTCATATTTAAGTTCCTGCTGTTTTTTGAAAGTATCAAATCTGTGATATTTTAACTTCCACTTATATTAGTGTGGCACTAGTCTGTTTTCATTTGCAATTATAACGCCATTAATATACTTTAAAGTCGTCCTCGTTGAAAATTTATCCGGAACATGCTTTTTGTAAAGACATTTTACTTATATTGATTGTCTTTTTGCCATTACATTGTGCTATTATGTATTTGGAATTCCATTGTTTTTATATCTGTGTCTGAATTTTGATGATACATCCTTTGTGCACATGCATCAATCGTGTGTTAGAGTCTATGGAGTTCAATGCTTGATGTCTAAATTTTCGTTTCTTTGTTTTCTTATATTGCATGGAAAAAGAGTCACACCTTTAGTGCTTCCACAGTTCAATAATTAATTCTGTGTCTCTTTTGCCATTAATTGAAAAAGGAGATTTGTGTACATCTATACATCAAGGTGGCTGCTTCATTATTTGGACACTGCAGATTTGGGATCGCGAAAAGGTTGTCATTATACCTGACCACTACATCTTCACCGCTGATGAACGAGCAAATCGTAATGTGGATACCTTAAGGGATTTCTGCACTGAGCAAAGTATTAAGTATTTCTATGACATAAAGGATCTGGGCAATTTCAGGGTATGTTTTTCCAGCCTAGCCTTTTGCAATGCGAACCATAATGTAATTTGCTAAGAGCGTTCTAATTTGGCATTTTAATGTAAAAAATGCAAGTTAATGTGTATGCAACGTCTTTACAGGTTAATCCAGACTATAAAGGTGTATGCCATATTGCTCTTGCCCAAGAAGGTCATTGCAGACCTGGAGAGGTGCCTTTTTGTCTTCTTGATGAATTATATTCTCACATGCTTGTGTTTTTTCTTTCTTGCTGAACAAAGATTGAACTCTTCAAACATGTCTTCAGGTGCTGCTAGGTACAGACTCTCACACATGTACTGCAGGAGCATTTGGCCAGTTTGCTACTGGAATCGGAAATACTGATGCTGGTTTTGTCTTGGGGACTGGAAAGCTTTTGCTTAAGGTAAATTACAATGGCACCTTTTTGACATTTGAATTAATTACCGGACCACCACTAACTATTCTATATTGGCACGACGACCCCTGCCATTTTAAAGTTATAACAGTAAGACTCTCTTTGCCACCGGAAAAAGATGAAATGTTCAAAAATAATACTTTAAATAGCTATATGTCTCTTTTATTCTTGATGGGAGATATTATTATGCAAATACTAATCTTCTTCTCTATCTATCTCGCTTTATCATATACAAGCACTCTTTACAAATGCACCCTGAAACATGCATCCTGGGAAACAAACACCCCAAGTCCCCTATCTCTCTCTCTTGCTCTGGTTACATGTTACATTGTGGAAAAAACAATTGTACATTGTCACACTCGGTGAAAGCACCTAATGGTGATGCAAAAAACCTGTTGGACTCAATGGAAATGCCTACCGGCAATAATAATGAGTTCCATGTTTCTAGTAGTAGTCTGGGTCAATTTGGAGGGCAAATGGATTAAAGAAATTGAATGCTTAGTGGAGTTGGATTTTATTTAACACTAGCTATATCATCAAGATGCATGGTTTCAAAATTTCCTATGGGCTTTTAGTGGGTGATCTGAAAAGGAGGCCTAGTTAATTCAGGTCATGCTCAAAACTTTCTTATGTCATTTTGCTGAAGACAATATTTGCCTGTTCGTATAGTTCTATGGAGAACCAAGATCAAAGTTTCCTGTCTTTACATCCCTGTAATGAATATACACTTAATAAATCCATTTCTTCAAGTTGTAAACATGAAAAAAAAATGTAACGAATATGGGATCACAAGCTCAAACATTATGTTCAACTTCCTTTTCAGTTTTAAAACATTTATACCTTCTGCTATTTTCTTCAAGAATTTGGATTATGTACATGTGGATTTCTTGTTTTTATTGTATTCTTCTGCATTTTCCTGCAAATTCCTTCCTTAAATCATCATGTCGCAGGTGCCTCCAACTCTGAGATTTGTGATAGATGGTGAAATGCCGGATTATTTGCTTGCAAAGGATTTGATTTTGCAAGTAAGTTGGACTGCATGCTGAGGCATTTCTTTACTTGGACATATTATATTCCCTGATAATATATTATAATAGAATGACAAAGCCTACAGTTTTTGTCACTGGGTAATGGTTTGTTCTTATTTGAATGGATTGTCAAAGCCTCTAATATTTGTTGGTGCATTGAATGTTTTTCACATTGCAGATTATTGGTGAAATATCTGTGTCCGGTGCAACATATAAATCGATGGAGTTTGTTGGTACTACTGTTGAAAGTTTAACTGTAAGTTTACTTATTCTTCCAATGAAAGTCTTTGAAAAATGCTACTCCACATTTGAGTTGTTTTATGGCACTAGTAATGTCTTAAACCTTTCATTGCTCTGTATTTGAAAGATGGAAGAAAGAATGACACTATGCAATATGGTTATCGAAGCTGGAGGGAAGAACGGAATTGTCCCAGCTGATAGTACTACAGATAAGTACCTTGAGGTAAGTGCCAACCAATCTGTGTATGAATGCATGCATCTGTCCTTGTGAATGTGAGTGTGAGTGTGAGTGTGCACGCACACACAAACAAGCGTGCTTGTGCTTAATATGCAGCTGTATTTTCTGCTTAGGGCTCTTCCTGGCATTCTTACATGCTTGTTTTCATTATAACGGAAGAAGATTTTTCCATTCGGCTTGTAATGAAACTAATAAATATTTTGTTTTTTGTTTGGGCTTGTACAGGGCAAAACATATGTGCCTTATGCACCAGTTTATAGTGACACACAAGCAAGGTACATATGGGTTGAAATCTATACCAGATCAGACCATTTTTGTGGTGCTAGAAAATGCTGCTTTGTGCTTTTTACCAGTTTTTCCAAATGGGTTGTGTAGCTATATTTTGATGTGGTTAAAAATAAATACCTTACCTTGGACATCTTCAACATCCCTGGGATTTAACGGATTGATTTTCTTTCCATTGCTTTTGATTGAAATATTCGTCTTTGGAAATTGAGCCATCTGGATCTCTTATATCAGCATGAATGTTGTAGTTTAAACATTAACCAACAAAAAATTATTTATCGAGATCTTAGAAGTTAATTAACACTATGGGATGTACAATAATAATACAAAAATACTGGAGCAACTTCATCCCTTGATAAGGTCATCAACCTTTTTATGAGAAGTGTTTGGTGAGTAATCTGTGGAGTTTTCTCATCTAATCTTAACATTTTTTTGGGTTAAAACTCCATTTTTTTGGTTAAATCTCTAGATGTTTGGTTCTTCATGTTTGCTTAATCGCGTTGTTACTTTTCATGGCCTTCATATTATGGGAAGTTAGTTTCTTGAAATTCAATGGTTCGGTAAGGGAAACTGTTGTTCAGTGCCCGCACACCCCTTTAGGATATTGGGGTTCAATGCTATTATTTTGACTTCTCAAAGCAGGCAAGACCTGCTCAGGGCCAAGTAAAAGTAAGTCATTTGTAACTGGATGTGCTTGGTTTATGCCCTGTAACATGTTACAGTATTACTATTCCAACTCTAGTTACAATACTTTGGTGGTTCTTCCTAACTATCCTCTCTTTGCCCAAAGGACTTGTTTATTTTCCAATTTCATAGCAATAGTTCCCAGGACTTAGCCTTCCATGTGGACAAATGAAGCAGTGAAAAGGCTTGTTGCTAGTTTGGAATCCAGCAAATTTGCTAGTATGTATTCTCTGCTGATGATGTTATTTCATTCTCTTCTAGATTTCTTTCGGAGTATAGATTTGATATCTCAAAGTTGGAGCCATTGGTAGCAAAGGTGAGTCAAGTAAAAGGAATATTTTGTTTCGAGAGAAAATAACAGAGGACAAGAAGGCAACGTGCTTTATTCCTGTTTTATTGGAAAAGTAGTAACCTGTGACAAGTATTTTGGTCTATGTTTTAAATGCTTGAATGATAGTTAGCTCTATCCTTTGCTGTTAATAATAGGCTTTGTATATGTCATGCAGCCTCATTCTCCTGATAATTGTGCTTTAGCACGAGAATGCAAAGATGTGAAAATTGACAGAGTATATATTGGATCTTGTACTGGTGGAAAAACAGAGGATTTCTTTGCTGCAGCCAAAGTTTTTCTTGCTTCAGTAAGACCACTTATCTCTCATACTTATTATGTCCTTGTTGTCGGACTTATGATTGCATTATGCTGACAAGGTTAATATTTGAAAATCACACCTTCTGCTGTATACTTTCATGGGTGGGGTTGCAATGATTTTTCCTCTTCCAGTGTTTATTAAAAAAAGATAATGAAAATGTCTCTTTCTCAGCCAAATATCAGTGATGCGTCTCGCCAAACTAAATGTATAGGTATTGTGTTTTTGTAACTAAAATAGCTGATTTGCATAGTCAATTTTCCAATAAATTATGCTTCAATGTTAATGTTGGTGCATATGAACGAGTTTATTATGCTTTATGTGTGCTATTCATTCTGTACATTGTGAATATGATTTGTATCCAAACAATCTTATATTGATCTTTTTGTGGAAATGATTTTTTTATTCGCATCATGTGCAGGGTAAAAAAGTCAAAGTTCCCACATTCCTTGTGCCTGCTACACAAAAGGTTCGTAATGTTGGTCTTTTGGAGCCGAAGGGTAATGTTTTTGTTGTCAGGATTGCATACATATTGATCAACAAATATAGTATGCTCAATGGTATTAAAATTTTCAGGTGTGGATGGACGTATATAGCCTCCCAGTGCCAGGTTCTGGTGGCAAGACTTGCTCGCAGATATTTGAAGAAGCTGGTTGTGATACACCTGCAAGTCCTACCTGTGGTGCTTGTATGGGTGGCCCTAAAGACACTTATGCACGGTTGAATGAACCTCAGGCAAGTTTTATACTTTTTTTTTCCAATCCAAATACGAATTAACTGAACATGAAAATAATGACAGCATCTATGTTGTGAGTTGGACTGCACATCTTCCCTCTAGTTCACTCCTGAATATCATTATTTCATGTGTAAAAAACTGTTCCAATGTATGAGCTGATTCTTACAAAGTATACAACACTGCTTGTTTTCAGAAAACAGGATTTGGCCATATCATGTTTTGGGTGTGATTTTGTTGTCTGTTGTAGGCTCTCCATAAATGATGCACCTTAGCTATCCGTTGTCTGGACTGGCAGCTAGTTTTTCAATCCCCTACATTATAGAGTTCATGCACCTATTTTTTTGCCTATTGCAGGATTACAATTATATTAAGGGTTAATCTCATTTTGCACCCCGAAAGATTGTTCGAATCTCAATTTACACCCTCAAAGATCAAAAATCTCAATTTACACCCTTAAAGATAGAAATTTATATCAATGTACACCCCCAAAGATCAAAAATCTCAATTTGCACCCTCAAAGATAGAAATTTATATCAATGTGTACCCCAAAGATAAAAAATCTAAATTTACATCCTCAAAGATAGAAATTTGTATCAATGTGCACCTAAAATTAAATTGATAAATTATACCTAAATCCCCTCATATTTGTCAGTTAATCATTTAGACATCTTCATATTTAGAATATTACTCCTACATCTTATGACATTTGTGCACGTATAACATGTAACCCATTTTTATTGATATCTATTAATATAACCGTTAAAAAATATAATTTTATCCTAATAAAAAATTATAATTTCATATTACCCTTTATTTTATAGGTTCAATATACTATAAAGTTCAAAATCTAGTTTACCATTTGAATGTCTAATAAAATATAAATATTTATATAATATTTTACATATTACCTTTTATATAAATATCTACATTTTATTAGACATTCAAATGGTAAGCTTGATTTTCAACTTTAGAGTATATCGAATCCACAAAATAAAAGGTAATATAAAATTATAATTTTATATTAGGATAAAATCATATTTTTTAACGATTATATTAATATATATCAACAAAAAGTGGTTATGTGTTACACATGCATAAACGTCATGAGATGTAAGGGGAATATTCTAAATGTGAAGGAGTTCAAATGATTAAGTGACAAACATGAGGGGATCAAGATATAATTTATTAATTTAATTTTAGGTGCACATTGATATAAATTTCTATATTTGAAGGTGCAAATTGAGATTTTTTATCTTTGGGGATGCACATTGATACAAATTTCTATCTTTGAGGGTGCAAATTGAGATTTTTGATCTTTGGGGGTGCACATTGATACAAATTTCTATCTTTGAGGGTGTAAATTGAGATTTTTGATCTTTGAGGGTGCAAATTGAAATTCGAACAATCTTTCGGGGTGCAAAATGAGATTAACCCTTATATTAATGATGATTTTTTCTGGTGCTTCGAATAGTAAATTTTGGTAGCACCATAGGTTTACAACCTATCCTTCTTTTTTCATTGCAGAAAATATTGGGTGTATTGTGACATCTTTTCATCATAATTATAATTGTCATCTATCTTAGTTTTATGGTTGCTGCTTACAACAGTACACAGCCCGGAATGGGCCATCCTTTTCATCTTCTTCTAATCACAATTTTAATAGCATAGCTTTTGTCATATTAGTCAAAATGACCTCATCTAACAGCTTGAACATATATCACTTTTTGAATCGCATGAGGATAGTAAAACAAGTTAGATCCACCATCTGGTGTTCCTATCTATGAGATCAAGATTCCAGTCTCCAGTTGAAGATAGAAATAACCATTTGGAAGTTATTAACGTGGTAAAGTAGGTTCGCCTCCCATTGAAAGGGGCATGTGGTGTACAGTCATCGTGGCACAAATATTGAATCGATGTGTCTTTAATTTGGCTAGCTGTTGGGCTGAAGGCTAGTCGGAGTTCGATGCAACAAATCTAAGAGGTGGTATAGTTGAAGCTGCCGGCTAGGCTAGCTGTTGAAGTCTCTACATAGTCATATCAACGACCTGTGATTGAATCTCACCTTCATCTAGCTTGAGAGGTTTTTTGGACAGGGGGACAATTCCACATTGTAGCCAACCATTTGACCAAGGAAATGTCAGTTACCTGATAATCCAACCTTGTGTCCAAGTGAAGATTGAACTAGAGGTTAGGTCAGTGGGTTGTCTTGGTATGGCAATTTGGTGTTCCTTTCTCTCCGTGCCCAACCCAGCCTTTTTTCTCATGTATATGCTTTATGGGTAGTCTTCTTAGTGGTGTGCCTTGATTAAACATATCTTAGTTCCAATGGTTGGGCCACAGTAAAAGGCTATTCTCGCCCTCAAACCTTAACCCGTAATGAAGGTGGTCTTTGGTACCACTAATGCAATTTTATCAAAACTCGCAAACTTAAGAGATGCGAAAGAGCCATTAAGACAAGTTCATCTTCTTCCTCAGCGCTAATTGCAAAAAAGAAGTTAGGCAATTCAAAAACAGAAAAAGTATGAAAGAAGCTAGTTTGATCTTGATCCTTGTGGTAGACTCTCAACTTCAGTGGAAAAGGAACATAAGAACCTTCCAATACTGATTGCTGAAGTTCTTTTACCTGGTCTATTAAATGGAGGGGATGTTGAAATTAAGTGACATGAAACTATAAAAATTTCAATTGAGTAGTATTTTGTATATGAACAACTTGGGGCTTCTTAGAAGAATCTTAAGAAAATGTAATTGAGAAAGTATAATACACTATGCCGGACTTGATGGACTGCTTTTAATTATTTTTCCGTTTATTTTGCAACAACATAAATTGATGTATTAAAGGTTAATGCTTAGTCCCCGAAGGATAAAAGGCTTTGTCTTTCGCCATTGAGCTTAAAGATCCTAATCCGAAATCATGTATTGCTATTCTTTGTGGTAGATTGTGTGGTAAAAGTGTAGTTCTGCTGGTACTGAGGAAGCACTGATTTGGTGCGAGATGCGAGTACGATTTGATTTGAATATGGATTCCGCATAACTGAAGAAAATCGAATACGGAGAGCTGTCTTCATTTATGAAAAAATATTTTCATTTAAATGTTATCACACAATTTGATGAATATATTTTTAAGTAATTCCCTTACAATAATTGGAAAAATAAGCACTTTTTTTTACTTTTAAAAAAGTAAATGAATGTGACCAAGTAAGAAATCAAAACAACCATTCAACTAGTTAGTTTGATTAGAAGTCTTTGTTGTCGAATTAGATTTAATTTATCCATTGTGCATGTAGATAATACTTAAAAAACACCCAACTTCCTTCGAAATCATATGGATTCTTATTTAGGTATACCGATGTAAGTGAATTCGAGAAGAAGGGTAAAAATTACAGATAAATATATCTCCTTCCATAGTCGAAGAATATTCATCTTGATATCTATAGAAGTATCCGAGATGCATCTTAAAATAAATAAAGAATTTATTAATTGGATACGTGTGGTGTGTATTGGGTATATATCCTTCAATATCCAATGAGTATTGTTTTCGATAGAGTATTCAATACAGATACCTCGACCTAACCGAAGTATTCATAGTCGTGCTTTATAGGTACTAGAATAGTTGTCAAGGAAGAACGAATTGTGTGAACTAGAATATAGGTGTTTCACTAGTCCCTTTTTTGTAACTACAATGGCTGTTCATATTCACATTCTAGGATAGTGCCTGATTTTTGTGTTTTGCTGGTTGTTGCAGGTCTGTGTCTCGACCACAAACAGGAACTTCCCTGGTCGCATGGGCCACAAAGAAGGCCAGATTTATCTGGCCTCTCCATACACAGCTGCAGCATCAGCTTTGACTGGTTTCGTCACTGATCCTAGAGAGTTTTTGCAGTAAGGCCATTGATCTTCATGTGCCGTGACTACTCAGTACCGTTGTGTAAACACCAACTGCTCGGACTCGAATTGTGGCATTGGAGCTAGTATCAGGTTCTGTTAATCTACACCCCAACTTTCCTTGTATGTTGTGATCTAGAAAGTATCTACTTCATTGGTTTTGTGAGAGATGTAATTTTACAAAGAAACGTAGATAGAACATTAGTAAATGGTTATGCTGTAACAGTGAGATGACGATGCATATGTAAAACTTACCCTTCTTGGTTTATTTACTTACATATGGATGAAGAGAGACTACATCTAGTATTTACTGTGAACAACTTGGAATTTGGAATCAGAATGAAGTTTCTTTCCAACAGTTGGTAGAAATTGTGAGCAAGTTGCATCCTTGTGTACAAGTCGAACAAATTTTTAAAGAAAGGATGCAAGGAAAAGAAGCAGGAATTAGCCCTAAAAGTCTTGTGGATGTGAATCTAAGGACATGTTTGTCTGATGTCAAGTCGGAAGGAATGAGTAATGGGTCGGGGAATCGGGCATTGGTCCTCTTGGATCCGGTAGGAGCAGGAGTAGGTAAGTGAGTCTCAGTAAAGAAAAGAAAATTTAGTTGATAAAGGGGTTAGATCTAGAGGAAGCATTTGGTCGCATATCATCTCATTGATCTCAAAAAACAGATTATCAAATATGTTTAAGGACTAAGCTATAGTTTTTTGTCTGTCTTGTTGCTTTGAGTTGCCCCCAGCACTAACAACAGCAATAACCTGAATCTTTTTCAATGTTCCAATCTTAAGTATGTACAAAAGTTGCTGTACATTGACCTGGAATTGGGACATGTGACTGTTTAGTTGCTGATAGTAGTTCCTTAACAAAATCATATGAACTCTACATTGTGAGGTGGAGGACATGGCGTTAAGCCAAACCCTTTGGTGCCATCCCATGCGGGTTTATCCTGTAAGTGGGACAGGGAAATTGAACGCTTCACGAGAATTAAACGGGTATTTTACGAGGTTTAGATTTTATGAAAATTCGTTATTTATAATTATATCTATTGAGTTATCAAAATTTTAACTTTTCTAAAAACTCAGATGAAGAAATAAATTTTATTATCGTACTAGTATAATATTGATTATGTTTAAAACCGAGTACAAATTAAATTAAGTTAAATTAATTAAATGAATTAAAAAAAAAAATTGATGACCCTTTGACTGAATCCCACTGTCCTTAGTCTATAAATACAGGCAACACAAAAGAAAGTGGAGAGAAAGAAATCGGGCAGGGTCTTAAAAGATAAACAGAGAGAGAGAGAGAGAGAGAGAGAGGGGGGGGGGGGGGGGGAGGGAGAGGGAGAGGGAGAGGACTCCATTGTTGGAAGAGGAGAAGCTTAAGGGCCAAATTTTGAACCTACAACTAATACCTTTGGACAAAGGTAGGAATTACAACTCTTTTGTTTTCTTCCATATCTCTCTACAGTTTTAATTTTTCTTTTGATTTGCAAGTTGTTGATCTAGTATAAGTGGTGAGCATGTCGATGAATAATATACGTGGATGAGTTATATATATATATATACGAATAAAATTTGTTAAATGGGTCTTTAAATTTCATGAAGGAATGAGGTGAAAGTTTATTGAAAAGTAATTTAGGTCTTTGGTGATGAATGGGTGGTTTTAGGTTTGCAAGGAATGAATAAAAGAAACAATTTATGGCAAAAAAAATGGGAGAAGAAGCTTTACTGATGCAGGGGTTCTGTACGTTGGAGAAGATGATGAAATTTTGGCTTAATTCAAAACGGTCCTCTTAACCTTAAACATGTTACACCTATGTACTTTATGAAATTACACAATGACCACAGATGTTTATAAAAACATTTCCAATTGCCAAATTAATATTTAGAGTAGTGCAGAAATGTTTCTGAAATTGTACTTTAACCCCAATAAGTATGAAATAATTTTGAATATTACACAGTGACCTCTAATTTCATGACGAAGTTCCTAAATATTTATGAATGGACCCAAAAGAGTATACTTGTGTGGAAAGACCATCAAATCACATGCTGCCTTTAAGATGGTATTTCCTTGAGTTTTAAACTACCCCCATGGTGGTAAAAAAAATTATGTATATATATATATATATATAATTGATTTGAGTTGCATATACTCATAAACGATAGCATGTCGAAGTCATATTGAAATGCATATTTATGATTATATTATTTGTATTTTGGTGGTTATCATGATGGTAAATACATCATTTGTGATTATTCCGGTTAGTGTGCTCAACCGACTTTGAGACACATGAAATGGTAATTCTTGAAATGAAATTGGGACAAGCAAGCAAGGATCGCTCCTCCCTTGGTGAAAGACCCGAAACAAATCTTAATCAAGTGTAGCATTCGTTGAGGTGCGGGGTCACTCGTGCCCTGATTGAAAGCATCTAAGAACAAGGGGGTGGGGTACACCCGAGGTTAGAGCCCTCAAAGGGACCCGGAGTTCCCAAGGTGTTTGTGCATAACAAACGGCGTATTGATTTAAATGGATAAAGACTAAGAATGAAAATTTAGGGCGATCCATGACATGGGTAAGCTTGATTACATGCTTAATTAAAATTTTCATCACTAGTAGGTTTCGTGTTTAATGTTTATATAATGCCTCATGCTATGTTTTAAGCAGGTTGTTACGGTAAATATTATTTGATGTGAACTTATAGGCATTGACACATATTTTACGGGATAACATTAAAACTTAGTAGTTGTTTTTTCTGCTGAGCGTGGCTCATCCTAATATTTTGCAGGTACTAGACCAAGAGATGACGGGGGTTCTTCCTAGAGCTATATTGAACATTTGTGCTCAATTGGATTACGAAATATTATATTTCATGTTAACGCTCGAAAAAAATTTTAATTTGTGACTTGTGTTTTGTTACTTTGGTGTGTTTTCAAAACCGACGGGATGTAATAGTGTCGATTATGGACTATTTTTGGGATGAATGTATAATTTGGATACTTAGACTTTGATATTAAATGAATGCCCAAATTACCAATCATTTGTACCTAAGTTACTTGAAAATACGTTAGATGTTCTAATTGTCTAGTCTAAACCGAAGTACGTGAACTGTTCAATTCATTTGATGAATTTTGTCTTTTTGTCACATAAAACACATAAATCTTACTAAATCACCCTAGAAAAACTAGGGCGTCACAGATTCCTCTTAATTAGTAGTCAGAGCCAAAAAAAGATATAATGCTTGCCAATTTTCACCCCTTATTCACGAGTGAGATTTAATAACGGTCTCAGTTAACTCAAAGATCCTTATGTTCTTTTATTTTTTTAGTTCTTATTGTTAATCATGGAATGAAACTCCTCATCTCAGGATTCGAATTCTGGTATCTTCTTATTTAATTTGTGGACAAAAATGAAATTGAATGCATAATTCGAAGACATCAGCGTGATTTATACTATAATGAAAGTTAAAAAGAGTTCAAAGATTTAATAACCACCAACGATAGAAGGATTTGAGTTCTTAGTACAACTTTTGTGCTTTCAAAAGCCAAATGAAACATGTATATTCATACCAAAATAATGACAATGAGAAAGAAAAAGGAAGAGTGGCCTAATCCACAACATGCTCCAACTTCCATCAATGGGCATTTCACTATTTGGGTAGGTTCGGGTAATGGGATCCGGGTTGTTCAAAGGAATGACCGACCCGCACTGCCAATGGATGGGCTATGGAACCGGGTACCAAGGCTTTTTCTTCCTGGAGGCTTACCACAAATGCATTGGCATTCATATCCATATATGTTGCCAAAGCATGAGAACAACCCACTTCCACCATCACTGTTCCGCCGTGTATGCTGACTAGTCGACCGGAAGCTACTCGATGACAACCCACGATCATACAGTGGTGGTAGCTCCGTCCGCCACCTCTCGAGCTTGGACCGAAGCCCTTCAACACTCTCATCTAAGCTCCACCCATCAAGCACGGAGCTCCGTTCCTCATCTAACGGGTACTTGTTCCGGGCCATAGCTGCAGCCACCTCTGATGGCGAGGGGCCCACTTCTGATTCGGACCAAATAGAATTCGCCTTTTGTGGGGGCCCAAAAATGAATTTACCATTTGTCAACGATCCTTTTGGGCCTCCCAATTCGTATCCATTGAATTTTGGAATGGGCTTTCCAATTGTCGCAGGCTTTGTTATCTCTATTGGAGGCCCAATTTCTAACTCAGTACCTTTTGTAATGGGCTTTTCATCAGCTATCAACTTATTTGTTGGTGGATCACTCTTTTTGGGCTCAAGTTTTTCATTGGGCTTTTCATTTTTGACCTCGATTTTAGGTGGATCTTTGCTAGTGAGAACAGAATAGCTAATTATCGAACTGGCTTTACCCTTTGGGCCAATATAGGCCTTTTAGTTCCGATGGATCTTTGCTACTGACAACAGAATAGCTAAGTATCGAACTGGCTTTACCTTTTGGGCCTTTATGGGCTTTTGGTTCCGAACTTCTAATTACCGAGCTAGCCTTCCCTTTTTGCTTTGACCTTTAGGGGTCACCAGCTTCTGAGCCGTTGATTATGGAACCAGCCTTTGCATGAAAATCCTTCTGTGGAATTGCAACAATGGAGCTGTTGGTCATGGAGACAATTGTCAAAGGTTACGCGTTCACTCCTTCGCTTCGTGTACGACGTAGTATGGGCTTCACAATTAGTGGCTGATCGTTATTTTGATTCTGGTGGTGTGGATCTTCCTCCCCCATCAATCACGAAAACCGACGGCTGAGGCGCTTAGTTGTGTGTACAAAGGCATGCTTCTCATGGAGCTATCAAGCACTGTCACACCAATGTTCAATATCCCCTGAGGACGGCCCGATGGACGACGAACCTGAAAACGTAACACAGAGTAGGCATATGCTTCATTGTCACATTTGATCGGATATGAAATGAATTTAAATCCTAGAATCAA